GCTCCTTTCTTATCAGTGACTGCTGTCAATAAAAAAGTTTGAGCTGAACTATTTTTATGTAGATTTTATCTACAAGAACAAAGGTTTGACTGAGTGAATCTATTTCAAACCATGGCTTCATGTTGTGTGGGGAGGTAGCCCCTTGCCTTATAGGAAAAGTCAGGCTTATACCCTGCTCAGATAGTATAGAGGGAAGAAATCCTTGATTTCACAAGATTTTTACAGAATTGACAGTGACTTATCTGAAGGACAGATGTCCCTTAGCTCTGCAAAAATCAGGCTACTCCAAGTGTAGTGTACATACACTTCCTGTGGATAGTCCAATAGATGTGCCAGCTGTACATTTGCTGTATAATACTTGTGGACTCACCACAGTCTACTAGGGAGAAATTTAAGAAAACTAACAGATGGACTTAACAGATATCTATAGAACATTTTACCCAAACACAAAGGAATATACCTTTCTTCTCCATAACTCATGGAAACTTCTCTAAAATTAACCATACCTCAGTAACAAAGCAAATTCCAACAGATGCAAAAAAGTTGGAATAACCCCCTGTATCTTATTGGATTACCATTACTTAAAGTTAGAATTCAACAACACTAATTGCAGAAAGTATACAAACTCGTGGAAACTGAACAGTGCTCAACTGAAGGAAGAAACATAGAAAGAAATTAAAGACTTCCTAAAATTCAATAAAATGAATGTACTACATAGCCAAAACTATGGAATACTATGAAAGCATTGCAAAGAGGAAAGTTCATAGCACTAAGTGCCTACATAAAGAAAGTGGAGAAATCTCACATTAGCAACGTAACAGCACACCTGAAAACTCTAGAACAAAAAAAAAAAAGAAAGAAAAAAGAAAAGAAGCAGATTAATCCAGGAGGAGTAGGCGACTGGAAAATATCAAATTGAAGGCTGAAATCAATAAAATAGAAACAAAAAATACAAAGAATGAATGAAACAAAGAGCTGGTTCTTCAAGAAACTTTAATATTAGTGACTTATTTTTTCAATCAAAAGACAGAGGGAAGTTGGTTGGATAAGGAAACAAAATCCATCTATCTTTTCTCTACAAGAAACACACCTCAGTTTCAAAGAGAAGTACCACCTTAGAGCAAAAGTATATAAAAACATTCATCAATCAAAGAGGACCAAGACACAAGCAGACATTGCCATCTTAATATCTGACAAAGTAGACAGATTGAAGTCAATCAGACACAATAAAGAGTGACTTACCCTTCTAACCAAGGGAATAATAAATGAAGAGATATTACTATCTCAAACATATATGAATCAAACTCTGGAGTCTCAATTTAAAAAAAAATACAAAAAGTACTCATAGATTTAAAAACAAGGATTAGCATCAATCCATTAACAGTAAGTTATTTTAATAGCCCACTTGATCCAATATGCATGTCATTTGGATTAAAAAAATATAAGAGAGATCCCGGCCTAACACTTTGGAGGAAAACTTCATCTTTGGTGGAGGCTAGGTGGTATCTATGGACACCAGGAAAAACACCACCCACCTCCACTTCAAGCCTGCTCAACAACTCTAGACTGTACTCCTCCCCTCCTCCTGGGCTCCATACTAGGCCCACAGCCCCAGCAGCTCTATTGGAGACTAGGTCAGATATAGGGATCCTGAGCCAGGCAGAAAGCTTCAGCTTCACTGGAGGCCAAACCATACTAGGAATCCCAGAGACCAAACAGATACTCAATATCCCAGATGCCCCACAGATGTACCTGGAGGCTGCACTTTCATTTCTTGGCTGCTGCGTTCCAAGTAATCCCACAGAAACTTATATTAACTACAAACTGTTCGGCTGATGGCTTAGGCATATCACTAACTAACTCTTATATCACAAATTAACCCATTTATATTAGTTTTTATTTTACCACAAGGCTTGTGAGCTTGTGGCTTGTTGCTTCACATCTTGCTTTTCCAATGGCTGGTGGCATCTCTCTCACTCTGTCTTCTTTTTCTCTGTATCTCTACTTGGATTTCCCACCTCTCTCTTTTCTGCCTCACCATTGGCCAAATAAGCATTGTTATTAACCAATGGTAAAAAAAAAAAAAAAAACATATTCACAGCATATAGAGAAGTCTATATCCACCTACCTAAGGGCTGGTCTATCAAATGGCCAAGGCAGTTTCTTTATTAACCAATGAAATCAACACAAAACAGAAGAACCCCCCCCACATCAGTGCCCAATGGATATGACATCCTACTCCAGAGATACTTGCTCAGCCATGTTCATTGCTGCTCTTTACACAGTATCTAGGACATGGAAACAAACTAAATGTCCTACAAGAAACAAAGGAATAATAAAAATGTGGCATATCTAAACTATGAAAAAATTAAATCATGAAAGTTTCAAGTAAATGGAATGAACTAGAAACTAGAACAAGATCATTTTGAGTAAGGTAAATCAGACCCAGAAAGTGAAAGATTGAATGTTTCCACTCATCAGAGGCTCCTAGCTCTGAATTCTCAGATGTGGGTAAATATTCTGGAGAAGCGGAGGATTAAAAGGAACCATCATTGGGATAAAGGGGTGAGGGAGCAATAGAGAATGGAATAGCAGGGTACAAGTGAATAGATCAGAGAAATGGAAAACAGGTACTCTAATTATAGAGCAGAGAGGAAGAAAACTCAAGAAGAATGATGGAATACTGTAAAAGTGTGTCTAAAAATGTCATAAAGAACCATGCTATTAACTATATACCTAAAAATTTACCTATAGTACACAGGAAATACTATATCAATATACAAACAGAGTTGAAATGAAATTTTCTCTTCTGGGCTGATAATGCTACCTTCAAGAACAAAAGACCACCTAACAAAATCACCAATACCAGGCACTAGAAGCCCCCTTTTGAGTTGTTGGGCAGAATTTTCTATTGAAAACTACTGTCATTTCCTTTGGTTACCCCTCCCTCCAAGAGGTGGAGGAGAAGACATCATGAACTTCAGGCACATAGCCCAGAATATCCTGACCTGGAACAGACTTGAAAGCCTCCTCACTGGAGACTAGGTTTCGTGGTATCAGAAGGTACTGTGAAAGTAACAAAAGGAGGAAAGCAAGAGAGAATCCTACTCAGTTATAATGCCCATGACAGCAACTACCAACATTGCATTACAGCCTTATGGGGGAAGTAGTGGCATGCATACCGTGGTGGTAACCAACAGCTTTCTATTAAGACTTAAGACTTGAACAAAAAGAAGTAAATCATGCTTGGTAATGGAAACCTAGCACTGAAACCTACTACTCCAGGGAAATATCCATTCTACTAAATGAGCATAATATCAACAATATAAGTATTTGTCCTTATACCCACAGATAAGTATAACACTCACCCCTCTTCAAGGAAACTTCTTTTTTCAATAGACAGAGAACATATCAAAGAACAATAAGAAGCTAAAATGCAGTTATGGAGCTACATTACAATGAATACATCTACAAAACACTCCAGAACCTAAGGCTTAGAAACACTGAGGGTGCAGAAGGATTGTAAGCCAGAGGACCATGGAGTTGGCTGTGAGGTTGTGTCTATTAGTAATATCAGAAGCTACACTCAAAAAAATTCTTACCAACATTGCTGCATAAACATGAAGTGAGTTAGGACAATAAACATGCCAAAGTGGATGGAGAAAGACCACAAATCCTCAGTCCTACACAAAGAACAATAGGTAACTAAGGAATACTCAGAAGAGAAAAAAGAAGAGCACACTAACTGGTTGTGAAAAACAAAAGATCAGCCCTGAAAATATGTGTACACTACACAGACTCAGTAGATTATATTTAGGAATATATTGTATAATATGTTATATTATATATTCTCTCTCCAAAAAAAAGATGACCTAACAAAATTCTCAATACCAGGCATTAGAAGCCCCTTATATATACTATATTATAATGTATAATTTATTATATTCCTAAATATAATCCCAAGTATGTGACAACAATTGATGAAATAAGGGCCATAACCTTGAAAAAGAACAAGATGGGGATTTATGGAAGGGTTTAGATAGAGGACAAGGAAAGGGAAAATTATGTGATTATAGTATAATCTCAAAAATAGAAGAAAAAGAAAAAGTCAATTCAAATTTTAATAAAAACTCAAAGGTCTGTGGGCTATGAAGAAGGAACCGTGGGTGAGAGTTCTTGCTGTGTAAGTATGACAGCCCGAGTTTGAATCCCTTGCACTCATGTAAAAAGATGGGCTTGACCATGTGTGTGCCTGTAAGAGCAGACCGAGCTGTGATGTGGGCCTAGACAGCAGGATCTCTGGGGAATTCTCACTACTGGTATAGTACCAACTTCAGTGAAAAGCCCTACCTCAGTGGAATCAAGAGAAGAGTGAGAATACCTGGTGTTCTCTTCTTGCCTCTGAATGCATATACGACACACACACTGTCAAAGTAAATGAATGTTTGAATAAGTAAAAATTAAATAAATAACAAATTCTAAGGCTCAGGGAACGTTGTAGAAGAGGGTACAGGCAGAATATGAATCAAAGAAAGTGGTAGCGTGTCATGAAAGCCTGTCTTCCATGAAAGCCTGTCTTCCAGATATGCCATGGATGTTGCAGTCTTGAACTCACAGCAGGTGGGTGTACATTAGCTACATAACAGATATAACACATAGAAAAGAAACTCATACAGTCACTAATAGTTGGGAGGAATGCAGGATGAGGAATTGTTGCTTAATGGGTACAGTTTGGGGTTGATTAAAATTGTTTGTAGAGTTGTAGATATTGCTTAGTGGCACAGCACTTGCAAAATATGTGGGGTCCTGGATTCAACCTCAACAAAGCCAGCAGTGAAGAATAATCAAAATACTGGCTGGAAAATAAAAGTGATGGTTGCATAACTCTGTATATTCAGCAATACTGAATTGTATACCTAAAACACACAAACAGGAAATATTTACATTATATACATATGTATTATATGTTATAGATTACTATTCTTAAAGCTTATTCTTACTTGGTCTTGAAGTCACATTCTCAGAGATCCATGTGGACATTCCAGATGTGCTCAGTCCATGTTGTGTAGTTGTGGTCTTATTCCCAATGGGTCTTGAACTTGTGGTAGCTACATGAGATGTCTCACTTGTAGTTTCCAGGTCAGTGATTGGGCTTGTTGAGGACTCTGATGGTATCAAGGTAATTACGGGGCTTGTGACATAAGTGACAAGATCGGAAAGTCTAACTGTAGTGACAGATGCTGAAGTTTCTATGCTCTCTAAAGTTGCACTGCTAGATTTACTAGTTGTAGGAGCACCGGGAATCCCAGAGACACTAGGGGACATAGTCAGAGTGGATTCTGCAGAAGTGATGGAAGCCCATAAACCTGTGGTTCCTGTTAAATTAGGGGAAGGAGTTACACTTAGAATGGTTGTGCTGGTCTTAGTCTCAGAGTGGATGGGGAGAGAGGCTGTTTCTTCAGAAGTACCAGATGAAAATGTTGTACCCAGGTCACTTTTGCTCTCCTCAGTCACAGATGAGTTCAAGAGAAAATGTGTCATCTCTGGTACATCAGGGGACACAGTCTGAGTAAAGAGAGTTGTACTAACATCTACCCCAGATGTAATGGGCACTGAGGCTGTGGTCTCCAATGAAGGAAGAAAACCAGTTGAAACAGGAAATGTTGTCTTAGTCTCAGTACTGAGGAAGGTGGGTAATGAGACTGTGCTTTTTGTTTCACTAGGAGACAGAACTGTATTTGGAAATGTACTGGTTGATGGACTAGAACTAGAGAACTGTGAGATCTCAACACCTGGCACCCCAGGATAGAGAGTCATTGTTGGCACAGATGAACTGGTTTCAGTTCCAGAATGATTGATTATTGAGGGTGTAACATCTAAACCACTATCAGAAGAACTGGAAGTTTTTTGTGTTAAGGCAGAATGAAAGACCAGGGAGACTGCTGATGTTGGCTCATGCATCAATGTACTCGGTGTAAGAAAAATCTTACTATTGTCTGTTGTAGAACCAGCAGTTAGTGGAGTGGTCATATATGGTACACCAGTTGAAAGAGTTGTTGGAATGGCTGAAGTGCTCTCTGCCCCAGAAGCTGAGGGTATGATGTCTGATTCACTAGAAGAAAATTTGAGAGTTGCTGTGGAGAGTGGAGTGCTAGGCTTGGCAGAAAGAATGAGCCATGTTTCAGTTCTTTTTGGCTCACCAGGTAAAGTAGACAGAGTAGAAATTGTTGAACTTGCTTCTTTCCCAGGAAGCATGACCGAGGAGGCTGTGTTCTCTGTTTGACTTGAGGAAACAGTCAAAACTGGAGTAGCTGTATATATCTTTGTCTCAGAAGTAGTGACCCGTGACGTCATCATTTCTGTAACATCTGAAATAGTGTTATGTGGCTCAGAAGGAATAAGAGTTGTTGGGGTAATCATTTCTGGAGGGACAGATCTTGTAGTCATGGCTGAACTGGGCTGTCCCCCAACATGGGAGATCAAGGATATTATGGTATGTGGTTCAGAAGGAATAAGAGTTGATGAGGATAACATTTCTGGAATGCTAGGAGACATGGATGTCCTTAGAATACTCAAAGGGGCTTCTGTTATAGGAGTGGTGAGCCATAAGGTTGGGTTTTCTGGTTGATCTGGAGAAGCAGTCAGAGTGGAAGACACTGAATCCATTTCTATGTGAGAACTAGTGATGAGTGGTGATATTGTTTCTGTTACATGGGGAGAGATAGGCTTTGTAGAAATGGTTGAACTGGGCTGTTCCCCAGCATCAATGACCAAAGAAATTGTGGTATGTGCTTCAGAAGAAATAAGGTTTGGTGAGGTCATCATTTCTGGCACACTAGAGCTAGTGCCCAGTGATGGTATCATTTCTGTTACATGGGGAGAGACACCCAGAGTAGACATGGATAAACTGGGCTGATCCCCAGCATGGGTGCCCAATGTTCCAGTTTGTGCTTCAGAAGTAATGTGGTTCACAGCTGTTAAGGTCAGCATACCAGGAAGACGAGGTGAGATGGTTGAAGTTAAAACTCCTGAAGTGTCTTCTTTCCCAGGAAGGGTGACCCATGGAACTGTGGACTCTGTTTGACCTGAGGAAACAGACAGACTTGAAGTGATTGGATGGTTTTCGGTTCCAGAACTAATGACCTGTGATGGTATCATTTCAGTTGTACCTGGAGATACATATTTTGTAGATATGGCTGAACTGGACTGTTCTCCAAAGTGGGTGACAATTGAAACTGTGGTATGTGATTCAGAAGGAATAAGAGTTGCTGATGTCATCATTTCTGGTACATTAGGGGAGATGGTCATAGAGAGAACCCTTGAAGTATCTTCTATTCCAGGATGGGTGACCCATGGGACTACAGTCTCAGGTTGACCTGGGGAAACAGCCACTGTTGTAGTCATTGCAGAGCTTTCTGTGCCCAGGTTAGTAAATAGTGATGGTGTCACTTCTGTTATATCTGGAGAGACACTCTGAGTAGACATAAATAAACTGGGCTGTCTTCCAGCATGGGGAACCAATGATGTTATGCTCTGTGTTTTAGGAGTGTGGTTCAGAATTGTTGAGGTCATCGTGTCTGGACCACTAAGTGAGATGGCTGTAGTCAGAACCACTGAAGTGTCTTCATTTCCAGGATGAGTTGTGGTTTCTGCTTCACCTACAGACTCTGCCAGAGTTGAAGAAGCTGAATGGTTATTTTTGCCTGAGAGAGTGATCATTGATGGTATCATTTCTGTTATACCTGGAGAGACAGTCTGAGTTGTCTGTTGTTCCTCAGGAAGGGTAATGAATGAAACTGTAGTATGTGGTTCAGAAGAAAGAAGAGGTGGTGAGGTAACCAAATCTGGAAAAATAGTTGAAATAGTGGAGGTTGAAGAACCTGAAGTGAGTACTCTTTCAATATGAGTCACCCATGAGGCTGTGGTCTCTCTTTCACCTGGGGAAACAAATAGAACTGGAGGGGTCTCTTCTGTCTCTGTCCCCAAAGTATTGGCTTGTGATGTCATTTCTGTTATACTGCTGGTCTGATCCTCAGCAGAGGTAACAAATGAAATTCCAGTTAGTGATTCAGAAGGAAAAAGAGTTGTGGATATCATTTCTGGGATACTGGCTGAAATGGTAGTACTTGGAACTCCTGACATGCTTTCTCTTTCAGTGTGGGTGACCATTATATAACTTCCTGTGCCCACCCTGGTGACTAGTGACTGTGTCATTTCTGTTGCATCATGAGATACAGTCTGAATAGACAAGGATGAACTGGGATGTCCACCAGGATGGCTGACCAGTGATGTTATGGTCACTGGTTCAGAAGGAGTGTGGAACAGAGGTGTTGAGGTCATCATGTCTGAAACACCAAATGAGATGGTTGTAGATAGATCCTCTGAAGAGACTTCTGTTCCAGGATAGGTGACCAGTGATGTTATGGCCACTGATTCAGAAGGAGTGTGAACCAGAGGTGTTGAGGTCATCATGTCTGGAACACCAGGTGAGATGGTTGTAGATAGATCCTCTGAAGAGACTTCTGTTCCAGGATGGGTGATCCATAGGGTTATGGTCTCTGGTTTATCTGTGGAAACTTCCAGAGTTGTGGGTGGTATAGAGCTGGAGCTAGTGACCAGTGATGGAATCAATTTTGTATTACCTGGAGAGCCAGCCAGAGTAGACATGGCTGAACTAGGCTGTTCCCCAATTTGGGTGACAGAGGAGACTGTGGAATGTGATTCAGAAGGAATAAGAGTTGGGGAAGTAACAAGGTCTGGAACACTAGCTGAAATAGTGGTGGTTAGAACACCTGAAGTGTCTTCTCTTTCAGCATGAGTTACCCATGAGGCTGTGGTATTTGTTTGACCTGAGAAAACAAGTAGAGCTGAACTGGTTTCATGTGTCTCTGTCCCAGAAGTAGTGTCCATAGATGTCATCAATTCTGTTACACCCGAAAAGATAGTCTGAGCAGACATGGATAAATTGGGATGTCCACCAGCTTGTGTGAACAATGATGATGTCTGTGGTTCAGAAGGAGTGTGGATCAGAGTTCTTGAGGTCATCATGTCGGGAACACCAGGTAAGATGGTTGTAGATAGATCTTCTGAGGTGCCTTCTTTTCCAGAATGGGTGACCAATGGTGCTGTGGTCCCTGGTTGATCTGGTGAAACAGCCATAGTTGAAGTCATGGAATTGTTCTCTGTGCTTGAGTTAGTGACGAGTGAAGGTATCATTTCTGTAATACCTGGAGAGACAGGACTTGTAGACAAAGTTGCACTGGGCTGTTGTTCCATAGGGGTGACCAATGAAATTTTAGCATGTGATTCAGAAGGAATGAGAGTAGTTGAGGTCATCATTCCTGGGATACCAGTTGACATGGTAGTAGTAGGAACCCCTGATATGACTTCTCTTTCAGTATGGGTGGTCAGTGGGGCTATGATCTCAGACAGGCCTGTAGAATCATCCAGAGTTGAAGTCATTGCATGGCTTCCTATGCTTGAGCCAGTGACAAATGATGGCATTTCTGTTTCTGTTACACCTGAAGAGACAGCCTGATCAGACAAGGATGGACTGGGATGTCTACCAGGATGTGTGACCAACAATACCATGGTCTGTGGTTCAGGAGGAGTGTGGATCAGAGTTGTTGAGGTCATCGTGTTTGGAACATCAGGTGAGATGGCTGTAGAGAGAACCCCTGAAGAGATTTCTGTTTCAGGATGGGTGACCCATGGGCCTGCATTCCCTGATTTATCTGTGGAAACTGCCAGAGTTGTAGCTAGTGCAGAGCTAGTGCTGGAGCTAGTGTCCAGTGATATTAGTGTTTCTGTTACACTTGGAGAGACAGCCAGGGGAGGAATAGCTGAACCTGGCTGTTCACCAATGTAGGTGGCAAAAGAAACTGTTGAATGTTGTTCAGCAGGAATAGGAGATGCTGAAGTAACAAGGTCTGGACCAGTAGTTGAAACAGTGGTAGTTTGAACATATGAAGTGTCTTCTCTTTCAGCATGAGTCACCCATGTGGTTGTGGTCTCCCTTTGACCTGGAGAAATAAGTAGAACTGAACTGGTTTCATGTGTTTTTGAGCCAGTAGTAGTGGTCTGTGATGTCCTCATTTCTGTTGCTTCTGGAGGGACAGTCTGAGTGGACATGGATAAACTTGGTTGTACCTCAGCATGAGTAACCATTGATACTGTGTTCTGTGTTTCAGAAGAAATGTAGGTTGGACTTATTGAGCCTACATTCTCTGAAGCAGTAGCTGACATATTTGTAGTTAGAACATCTGAACTAACTGCCTTTACAGAATGGGAGGCCCATGAACCTGTGGTCTCTGTTTGATCTGTGGATACTGTCAGCATTGTAGTTGTTGGACTGTGTGTTGTGATGGGGCTAGTGACCAGTGATGGCATCATTTCTGTTACACCTGAAGAGCCAGACAAAGTAGAGAAGGCTGAACTGGGCTGTTCACCAATGTGGGTGACAATAGAAACTGTTGAATGTTGTTCAGCAGGAATAGGAGATGCTGAAGTAACAAGGTCTGGACCAGTAGTTGAAACGGTGGTAGTTAGAATACCTGAAGTGTCTTCTCTTTCATCATGAGTCCCCCATGAGGCTGTGTTCTCTCTTTGACCTGGAGAAAGAAGTAGAGCTGGACTGGTTTCATGTACTTCTGTACTGGCATGTGACATCATCATATCCATTCCACTCTGAGAGACAACATCAGTGGACATGGATGAACTGAGATGTTCACCAGTATGAGTGACCAATGATGCTATGGTCTGTGGTTCAGGAGGAGTGTGGATCAGAGTTGTTGTGGTCATCATGCCTGGAACAGTAGGTGAGGCCATTGTTCTTAAAACCCCTGAAGCATCTTCTTTCCCAGGGTGGGTGACCCTTGGGGATGTGGTCTCTGGTTGGTCTGGGGAAATAGCAAGAGTTGAAGTGATGGAATGGCTTTCTGTACTTGAGCTAGTGGCAAATGATGGTATCGTTTCTGTTATATCTGGAGAGATAGGCCATGTAGCTATGTCTGAACTATGCTGTTCCCCAATATGTGTCACCAATGACACTGTGGTGTTTAGTTCAGCAGAAATAAGATTTGGTGATGTCATCATTTCTGGTATGCTATGTGAAATGTTCAAAGACAGAACCCCTGAAGTACCTTCTTTTCCAGGATGGGTGTCCCATGTGGTTGTGGTCCCTGGTTGATCTGGTGAAACAGCCATAGTTGAAGTCATGGAATTGTTCTCTGTGCTTGAGTTAGTGACGAGTGAGGGTAACATTTCTGTAATGCCTGTAGAGACAGGACTTGTAGACAAAGTTGCACTGGGCTGTTGTTCCATAGGGGTGACCAATGAAATTGTAGCATGTGATTCAGAAGGAATGAGAGTAGTTGAGGTCATCATTCCTGGGATACCAGTTGACATGGTAGTAGTAGAAACCCCTGATATGACTTCTCTTTCAGGGTGGGTGGTCAGTGGGGCTGTGGTCTCAGACAGGCCTGTAGAATCATCCAGAGTTGCATGGCTTCCTATGCTTGAGCCAGTGACAAATGATGGCATTTCTGTTTCTGTTACACCTGAAGAGACAGCCTGATCAGACAAGGATGGACTGGGATGTCTACCAGGATGCGTGACCAATGATGCAATGGTCTGTGGTTCAGGAGAAGTATGGATCAGAATTGTTGAGGTCATCATTTTTGAAATGTCAGGTGAGATGGCTGTAGAGAGATCCCCTGATGTGTCCTCTTTTCCAGGGGGCGTGACCCATGGGCCTGTATTCCCTGGTTTATCTGTGGAAACTGCCAGAGTTGTAGCTAGTGCAGAGTTAGTGCTGGAGCTAGTGCCCAGTGATATTAGAGTTTCTGTTACACTTGGAGAGACAGCCAGGGGAGGAATGGCTGAACTGGGCTTTTCACCAATGTAGGTGGCAAAAGAAACTGTTGAATGTTGTTCAGCAGGAATAGGAGATGCTGAAGTAACAAGGTCTGGACCAGTAGTTGAAAAAGTGGTGTCTTCTCTTTCAGCATGAGTCACCCATGTGGTTGTGGTCTCTCTTTGACCTGGAGAAACAAGTAGAGCTGAACTGGTTTCATGTGTTTTTGAGCCAGTAGTAGTAGTCTGTGATGTCATCATTTCTGTTGCTTCTGGAGGGACAGTCTGAGTGGACTTGGATAAACTTGGTTGTGCCTCACCATGTTTAACCATTGATACTGTGGTCTGTGTTTCAGAAGAAATATAGGTTGGACTTATTGAGTTTACATTCTCTGAAGCAGTATCTGACATATTTGTAGTTAGAACATCTGAACTAACTGCCTTTACAGAATGGGAGGCCCATGAACCTGTGGTCTCTGCTTGATCTGTGGATACTGTCAGCATTGTAGTTGTTGGACTATGTGTTGTGATGGGGCTAGTGACCAGTGATGACATCATTTCTGTCACACCTGAAGAGCCAGCCAGAGTAGGGAAGGCTGAACTGGGCTGTTCACCAATGTGGGTGACAATAGAAACTGTTGAATGTTGTTCAGCAGGAATAGGAGATGCTGAAGTAACAAGGTCTGGACCAGTAGTTGAAACGGTGGTAGTTAGAATACCTGAAGTGTCTTCTCTTTCATCATGAGTCCCCCATGAGGCTGTGTTCTCTCTTTGACCTGGAGAAAGAAGTAGAGCTGGACTGGTTTCATGTACTTCTGTCCTGGCAGGTGACATCATCATATCCATTCCACTCTGAGAGACAACTTCAGTGGACATGGATGAACTGAGATGTTCACCAGTATGAGTGAGCAATGATGTTATGGTCTGTGGTTCAGGAGGAGTGTGGATCAGAGTCGTTGCGGTCATCACGTCTGGAACAGTAGGTGAGGCCATTGTTCTTAAAACCCCTGAAGTATCTTCTTTTCCAGGGTGGGTGACCCATGTAGATGTGGTCTCTGGTTGGTCTGGGGAAGTAGCAAGAGTTGAAGTGACAGAATGGTTTTCTGTGCTTGAGCTAATGGCAAAGGATGGTATCGTTTCTGTTATATGTGGAGGAACAGGCCTTACAGACATGGCTGAACTGGGCTGTTCCCCAATGTGGGTATCCAATGAAGCTGTGCTATATGGTTTAGAAGGAGTAAGAGTTGGTGAGGTGATCATTTCTGTTACACTATGTGAGATGGTTCTAGATAGAACTCCGGAAATAACAAGTTCTTTTCCAGGAAGGACAAGCCTTGGGTCTGTGGTCTCTGGTTCACTTGAGGAAACATATAGAGTTGAATCCAATAAAGAGTTTTTCATGCTAGAGCTAGTGATGAGTGATGATATCATTTCAGTTATGCCTGAAGACACCGGCCTTGTAGACATGGCTGAACTTGGCTGTTCCCCAATGTTGGTAACCAATGAAATTGTAGTATATGTTTCAGAAGGAATAAGAGTTGATGAGGTCATCATTTCTGGCATGCTAGGTGAGATGGTCTTAAATAGAACCCCTGAAGTGCCTTGCATTCCATGATCTGTTATCTTTGCTTTTGTAACCTCTGGTTGTATTGGGGATAAGTTTGTATTTGAAGTCACTGCATGGCTTTCTGTGCCTGAGCTATCAACCCGGGATGTCACTTCTGTTATACCCTGAGAGACTGCCATACTATTTATGGACAAACTTTGTTGTTGCCCAGCAGGAGTTGCCAATGGTGTTTTCTTCTGTGCTTCAGAAAGAGTGTGGCTCAGGAATGTTGAGGTCATCATGTCTGTAACACTAGATGTTAAGTTTGTATTTTGAGCACCTGAGCTGGCTTTTTTTTCAGGGCTGTTAATCCAAGATGTTGTTGTATTTGGTAGTCTTGTGGAAAAAGTGAAATTTGGAGTTGTTGCATGACTTTCTGTACCTTCAGTAGTGACCAGTGAGGTAGCCATTTCTGTTGTATCTGGAGAGACAGCCAGAGTAGATATGGTTGAATTGGGCTCTTTTCCAGCATCAGTTACCAATGAAACTGTAGTCTGTTTCTTTGGAATTTGGTTCACAGATTTTGAGGTCAGTATTTCTAGAACATTGGGTGAGATGGTTGTAGTTAGCACCCTTGCACTGACTTCTGTTTCAGGATTCATGATCCATGATGTGGTGGTCTCTGTTTGACCTGAAGAAATAGTCTGATTTCTTTTATGGCTGCCTGTCTCAGAGCTAGTGAAGAATGGTCTTATCATTTCTGTTACACCTGGAGAGACAGCTGTAGTAGACATGGGTGAACTAATCTTTTCCCCAGAGTGAGAAATAAGAGACATCTTGGTATGTCGTTCAGGAGGTTGAAGAGTAAGAATTGATTTGGATGTCTCTGTATCTTCCTCAGACCTACGGCCTTCTAAGGTTACCATATCTGGAATACTAGATGAGAGAGCTATAGTTGGAGTACTTGGAGCAGATGATCCGGCTTCCTGTTCAACTGTGGTGGCTGTTGGGGGTGTGGTATAAGATTCAATATGGGAAAAACTTGGGCTTATCCTGGGAACCTTTGTGCTCATTTCTACAGGACTGATAACAAATGGGGCTGATGTGCCTGCTTCATCTGGTGAAGCAGTAAAAGTTGCAACAGAAGAACTTTCTTCTGAAATTTTAGAAGGTGTTACTTGTGATGCTGTTTTCTCCAGTATTTGTGAATAACTTGTTATTGCTGGGGAAATTGTACTGGTGTAAATCTCAGAACTAGGGCCTAGTGAAGTCACTATCCCAAGTACACCAGAGGAAGCTGTCATAGTTGGAACGGATGAAGGTTTTTGTACCACAGTATGAGTGGATATTGAGACTCCTTTCTCTGGTTTATTAGAAGAAAGAGTCAAAGTTGGAATATTGGTGCTGGTGATTGTTCTAAAAGTAGTGACAGGTGAACTCAGTACTTCTGAAACATTAGGTGAAAAAGCAGAAGTTGAAGAATCTGATCTGGCTTCTGTCTCAGAACTGGTGGACATTGAGGGCAAACTATCTGATGCAGTGTGGGAAATATCTGGAGTTGTCATGAGGACTGTCAGGTTAGTCTCTGAAGAATGAGTATCCCATGATTTTGTTTCACCTGTCCCACCAGGTAAAGTAGATAGAGTCAAAACATCTGAAGTACCTTCTCTGCCAGAGTGGGTGACCCATGAGGTTATAGTATCTGGATCATCTGGGGAAGCAGTTTGGATTGCATGTGTCTCTGCCCCAGAACTAGACACCAGTGATGTTATCACTTCTGTTACACCTAGAGAGACAGCTGCAGTAGAAGTGGCTAAACTGGACTCTTCCCCTGCATTGGTTGCCAGGGAAACTACAGTCTGTGGCTCAGAAGAATGGAGCATCAGAATTGATGTAGTTGTTTTTGAATCTGTACCAAAACTAGGGACCTGCGAAGTCACCATATCTTGGACAACAGGTAAGACAGTTGTGGTTAGAACAGATGAACTTGTTTCTGGACCAATAATTGTGGATGCGGGAGGCATAGTGTCTAAATCCATATAGGAAAAACTTGGCCTTGTTGCTTCATCTTGCTCAGTAGGAGTCCTAGTCCCAGATGGAATCTTAGAACTAGCTTTATCCCCAAGATGGCTGACTTCTGAAGCAGTGATCTCTGGCTGACTTGAGAAAGCAACCTGAGTTGAAAATAGACTTGTTTCTAATTTACTGCTTGTGGTGAGTGACATCAACTCTGGAACTTCAGGGGAGACAGTCAGAGTTGCAATGGTTGAACTCACCTGTGGCCTACGGTGGCTGACAAATGATACTGTGGTGTCTGACTCATCAGCAGAAACAAACTGAGCTGGAGTACTTTCACTAGTTACTGTTGAAAAACTAGGAGCCAATGAGGTCAGAACCCCTTTCACCTCAGGTGAAAAAATAGAAGACGAGCCAGCTAAATTTGTTTCTGTCCCAAGACTGGAAGCCACTGAGGGTGTAACATCTAACCCATGCTGAGAAAAATCTGGGACTGTTTTGAGAACTGTAGGACTGATTGCTGCATGAGGAGTGAATAAGGAAATGGTTGTATTTGGCTCACCAGGAAAAACAGCCAAAGTTGGAATAGCCGAACTGGACTTGGCCTCAAGATGAATGGCCCCTGGAATGGTGGTCTCTGGTTGACCTGGGGAAACAGTCAAAGTTGGAGATGGATGGCTTTTTGTTCCAGAACTGGTTATTAGTGAGGCCAACATTCTAGGGGAGTCAGATGGAACTGTAATACCTAAACTTGTCTGGGCTCCAGCATCGGTAGTAAATGAGTTCGTTGTCTCTGGCTTAGAAAAAGAAACAGACAAAGATGGAATACTTGTACTGGTAACTGCTCTAGAACTAGTGGCCAGTGAGGTCACCAAAGTGGGAAGAGCAGAGCTGACTTCTTTCCCAGTACTTGTGGTGGTTGACAGTGTCAAATCTGATCCACCATGAGAAAATGTTAGGGCTGTCTTAGGAAGAGTAACGTTTGTCTCCGTAAGATGGGTGATTCCTGATGTTGTTGTATTTTGCTCACTAGAGGATGTACTCTCCACAGTGGAAAAAATTGAGGTGTCTTCTGTCCCAGTCTGGGTGAGCCAAGACGTTGTATTAAACAGTTGATATGGAAAAGCAGTCAGGGTTGAAGTAGTTGGCTCTATTATCTTTCCTGATACAACAGCTGAATTACTTGTATTTAGAATAGCTGTAGTTCCCCATGCTTTGGAATCAGTGACAAGTGTGCCAGTGGACTCTGGTTCCTCAGCAGGAGTCATAGTGGATGTATTATTTTTTTCCTGTGTCTGAGAACTAATGACCAGTGAGGTTTCCAATCCGGCTATAACAGGTGATGTAGTAGTGGTTGGAAAGGCTAGCATGACTTCTGTCCCACGGGTGGTATCCATTGAGAGCGTGGTAGTATCAGATTCAATATTTCCAGAAACAAGGATTCTGCTCTGTGTAAGATGTGTGTTTCTTGGGAATATTGTATGTGACTCACTAGGTGCGACTGTGAGATTTTGAAAAGCTGGCTTGGTCTCTGCTCCAGTACTAATATTCAATGAGGTTGCCATTCCTGATGTGTCAGCAGGAAAAGTGCTGGCAACAGAGTAACTCACCTCTGTTCCAGGATGGGTGACCCCAGAAGCTATTGTCTTTGGTTCACTCGGGGAATCAGTAAGAGTTGGAATAAACATACCAGTGCTTTCTTCAGGTCCGCTAATCAGTGAGGTTGGCAAATCTGGTGTTGTAGAGAAAACAGTTAACTGTGGAAAAGATGAACTGACTTCTCTGGGAATGGTGGCTGTGGACACCATGGAATCTGATTCACCTTGAGAAGCACTTAGGGTCATCTTGGCAGCAGCTGAAGTCATCTCCAAAGGATAGGTGACCCATGAGACTGTACCAGAGTCACCAGAGGAGCCAGTTAAAGTACGACTAGCTTGGCTGGTCTCTGTCCTAAGACTGGGGCTCCTCAAGGCTGTGCTCTCTGGTTCTTTACTGTACAAAGATGGTCTTGTTCTGAGGACCATGCTGGTCTTTTTCCTAGAGCCTGAAGAAAGTGATGCTGTCATCCCCAGGACATTGTGGGAGGCATCTGAGGCTGTGATAATCATCTCTGTTGTGTTTATGTTGACCGTTGTCTCTGGTGTCTTGAGGTGAGCCAGGGGTCTTGAAGTTGTAGAGATTTTGGTGGTTGAAGTGGCGATGGGTGTAGTCTTCAGAGCTGCATCAGTGGTCTCTGCTTTTACCACCCCTTCTGTGGTTAGTTCTGTAAGTTGAGACATGCAACACAAATTGTAAAAATGTTTGCACTTTCTCCATAGGCAATTCATATTTTTTACTGTACATGATAAAAGGAGAGGAGTATTTATGATAGTGCTGCTTTCTTGGGATGTGAGTGGCATGATCTGGGAAGGGAAAAGGTACTGTGAATTTTGCTATTTTGTTCATCCATTTCCCTGACTCATTTTTTATTTTCTGATGTGTGTGTGTGTGTGTGTGTGTGTGTGTGTGTGTGTGTGTGTGATACAGAGACAGGAGAGAAACAGAGAGACAGGGGTTTCTGTTTCCCAGGGCAGCCTTAAACTCACTACGTAGCTGACGGTATTCTGAGATTATAGATAGGCATTACCACATTTAGTTAATGTGGTGCCAATGACAGAAACTCGGGGCTTTGTGAATTCTAGGCAAGCACTCTACCAATGGAACTACAACTTTAGTCCTTCTGTATCCTTTTGAGCTGTAACTCCTTCATAAATTTGTGACCACACACATCCAATCCTTGTCCCCCTCCATTTTCCATACTACTCAAGGTTAGCTTTCTGTTCTCCTGACCTACCTATCTCCCATCAGGTCCCATCAATTCTGATCATTTTCATGGGCAAGTTTAAATCCACCTTACTGAGAATTCATTAGATTTAATTTTCTCCATTTCTTACCACAGTGTCTGAACTGCAGTTTTCATCTTCAGATTTCCTGTCTGTTGATAACTATTAATAGTTCACTGCTTGACACATGATAGGTGTTCAACTTAAAGTATTGACAGAATGAATGAATAAATGAGGTCCTGAAAGAATGGTGCATAAGAATGCACCTTCTTTGCTTTGAGAGAGGTGATATGTGTCATTAGTTTGAAAGTTTGGGCTTCATAATGTGATATCCCTGTAGTGATTTTGTCATTTTTACTAGAGATGTGGCTATAACGGAGCATTTTTGGCTTTGTACAAGCCAAGGTTTGCTAGCACTCTGTGATTACAAAATCTTTTTTTCTGGAAGTTATTTAACATTTCATGGTATTGTTTTATGAATACATTTAAAAGTGTACATAGGCTGGGCATGGAGTTCATTGAATAGAACATTTACCTAGCATTCATGGAGTAAATCCTTAGAAACCCACTATCTGAGTATGGTGGTGCATACCTGTAAATACTGTGACCAAAACTGGAATCTGCACACTAAGGTACCTTGAACTGACTAATTTTCCTTCTGTTCTTTGTCTTCTCTGCCATGCTGCGACCACTCTCAACTTAGGCTAGACTATGTGGCTCTATGTCTTAAATTTAACAACTGCTTTTTAGGAAACCCACATAAGATGCTTCAGCCACTTGATAAATCAATGGCTCTGACTTGGTGGTGACTTTGTCCAAAGCCTAGATCTTCAAAGTAGCTTATTAAAACCAAGGTTCCCACTATGACTATGGAAAAAATGCCCAACATTGTTAGCCACTTTACATAGATGCAAAACTACACCAAGACTCACTTTCATCTTAGTCAAAATGACATTTATGTACAAATTAGAAAATGAATGCTTAAAAATATTAGAAAAGAATCAACATTATACACTCTTGGTGGGAATATAAATCTATCTACTTCAGAAAAAAATTATAGAGGTTCCTTAAGAAACTAAAAACAGGAAACAGGAAAGATAGTTCCATGACTAGGAGTAATTTCTGCTCATGCAGAAGACCCACTTTTTTTCAAAGTATCTACTTAGTGACTTATAACCACCCATGACTCCAGTTCTAGGGATATTGTGGGAGTGATTTTTTTCTAATCTGTTGCTTTCATTGGTTAATTAATAAAGAAACTGCCTCGGCCCATTTGATAGGCCAGCCCTTAGGTGGGTGGAGTAAACAGAACAGAATGCTGGGAGAAAGAAGCTGAGTCAGGCAATTGCCATGATTCTCACTCCTGACACAGCCGCAGGTTAAGATCTTCCCTGGTAAGCCACCTCGTGGGCTACACAGATTATTAGAAATTGGTTAGGTCAATATGTAAGAGCTAGCCAATAAGAGGCTGGAACTAGTGGGCCAGGCAGTGTTTAAAAGAATACAGTTTCCATGTAATTATTTTGGGTAAAGCTAGCAGGGTGGCGGGATGCAGCCCAGCCTGCCAATCTTATTAAACAGGATATGATGCCTGTTTTTACTTTCACAGGCACCAGACATGCCTACAATCTCTCAGTGAGGAGCTGGAGCATGGTTCTGTGGTAGAGCCTCTGCCTAGAACCTTCCCTTGAGAAACCTGGGAATGTGACTCAGAAGTGCAGTTTTTTGACTTAAAATCTACTGAGGAGCAGAAGGCAGCAAGAGTGTGCTGGAGTAGATGTACAAGCTGCTGTGGCTTACCTCAAACATTCTCCACACACAAAGTTGCATTGTAATTATTGTGTTCCTTTGATGTCTTTCTCAGTTTATATCAATGTCTCCAACATACATATTTTATTTAATTAGCAAATAAGAGTGGGCATAGGGAACTTATCTGAAATCTTAGTATTTAGGAGACCATGACAGTAAAATTGTGAGTCTGAGGCCACTTGGGTTACAAAGAAAGGTTTTGGAGACATAATGGAGGAGAGAGAGATTAATGTTTGGGATCTGGAGCAAATCTTGTTCAGCATATTATGAGAACACTGTTATACACTGTGTTCTACATAGTAACCATTAGATAAAGACCCAGCTCAGACAAGCATTCATGAAAACCATGTTGTAATGATAATTCATTTGTATTTTAATAAATAAAGCTTGCCTGAAGTTCAGAGAGTAAAACAGCTACACTGATTAGCCTTATAGACCAGACAGTGGTGGTACACACCTTTAATCTCAGAAACCATACCAGTTTCCTACAGAAACTGGGCAGTAGTGGTGCATGCCTTTAATCCTAGCACTAGAGAGGAGAATATAAGATGGGAGGAGACAGCTCTCACACACAGTCTAATTCTGATATTTTTGTAGGCAGGATCACCATTTCAGACTGAGGTAGAGGTAAGAATCTGACTAGCTATTTTGCTTTTCTGACCTTCAGGTTGAAACCCATTTTTTCCCTCTGGATTTTTATTAATTGTGCTACACCATGTAGTATCCTCTTTAAGGAAATCAAGAGGTTTGGTGTGCTCTGGCACAGGAAATGAGGCAGGGGTATTATTTCTACTTTTTAGGGAGTAAGCACAGTGGTACTTACCTTTAGAGCTAGCAGGTGATATAGAAGCCAAAGGGCTCTTTACTAGGCCTGGGGTGTCTCCATGGGCAGCTCCATCAGGGGTCACTGTCTGGGACTGCATGCCATCTTCTGTTTCTGTGGGTGAGAGTTAGGAAGAAAATTAGTAAGTAGCTCTTCTAGAAAGACTGTACTGTCACGTAATTGAGTGAGTGTTATTCTTTTTTCTAGAGTTCATGGCAGTGACCTCAAGCACAGCTATACAGAATGAGTCCCCACATCCATCACTTCCCTATAAATTTATTAATTTGTCCATACATCTACATGCAGATATGACAGCCTTTCCTTTCTTATACCCTTTGCTTTCTACTATCAACCTTTACTTTATTTCTCTCTCATCCCTCTCCTCCTTCCTTCTCTTATACCCTTCCTTCCTTCCTTTATTTCTACCTTCCCTCCTACCCTTCTCCTTCTTTTTCTTTCTCTCTTTCTCTCTCTGTCTATGTCACTCTCTTTTGCAGAGTCTCATATAGTCCAGACAGGCTTCAAACTTGGTACATAGCTGAAAAGGATCTTGAATTTCTGTTCCTCCTGTCTCTAAGCTCCTATGTACTTGGAATACAGGTGTATACCACCATGCCTACTTTATGCAATGCTGAGGGGCAACCAAGAGCCCTGTGCACGCTAAGCAGCACTTTACCAAATAAATCACACCCCACCTTCTACTTTCTGCCTGCCCTTATTTTCTTCCATATTTACTTAAATGTGCCATTATCTTTTTATTTGATTTGACTTCAGAATGAACTACAAATAAGAATCAAAGTAAAGTATGGTGTTATGGACATGAAATCCAAACACTTAGGGTGCTGAGGAAGAGGAATCATGAGTTTGAGGCCCACTTGGTGATATACAAAGACAATGTATAGAGAAAGTGAATCAATGATTTCAAATGTCTACCATTCATGTGACTTGTTTAAACTATCTGTGTAGGACTCAAACACTTTTCTTCTGGAGACTGCCTAATGAAGATAGTAGTGGTGTTGAAGGACATTCTTGGAGCTGTATCACAAATAAAATCAATTTAATTATCAAATTTAATTCTTTCACAAAAATAGAATCCTTAAAAGGTCTTATCTTGTATTTAGTGCTTTCTGGGTCCCTCCAACATCATCAGGTACTTTAATCCTTCACTTTTCATGATCACATGTTTTTCCTTCTTTCTAGTAATTGGTTGAACTCAAAGGTGTAAACTCTCCATTGAGTCAAGCCTAGTGGTACTATAATGCCTATAGTTACTGCTGTGTGGAAGGCTAGGGAAAGACTTTCAAATTCAAGGTCAGCAAAATTTACAGGGTTAATTCCAGGCTAGCATGGGCCTCCATATGCCACATATATACATGAAACAAGGGCTGCTTAGGAATAAAGCATATGTGTCAGCCCCTATGGAACAACCTCCCCAAACAAATCAAAGCAAAATTGCTTCCTTTTATCTACATGTTATTTTGGCTAAATTCTAGACCACTATGCATCACTGATATGTCCTCTTAGGCTTCCCATGCTGCCCAAATACCTCTCACTTATGACCACTTAGCCTTTTTGTAGAACTTGAAAGAGTTTACAATTGCTCTCTAAATCTTGTCTTCCTGTAGCTACTGTAACACCAGAATCTCTTGTATTTTCTTCTGGTTTTTTTAACTTCTGCTAAAATTAAAGATTAAGTACATAAATTCTTACTCTAGAATAGTTTGAACTATTTTTTGTTTGGGGGTTCCTGGGGTTCAAACCAAGAGCATTATGCTATATCCCTATCTCTTTGATTTTTCAGACAGAACCTCACTGTATGACTCTCATTCTCTTTGAACATAAGATTTTTATGCCGGGCGGTGGTGACGCACGCCTTTAATCCTAGCACTCAGGAGGCAGAGACAGGCAGATTTCTGTAAGTTCGAGGCCAGCCTGGTCTACAAGAGCTAGTTCCAGGAACCCTGTCTCAAAAACCAAAAAAAAAAAAAAAAAAAGATTTTTATGTCTCAGCTTTCCAAATGCTGGGGTGATAGGCATGCAACAAGCACACCTGACTAAGTTCTTAGTTTAGTTCTGTCATCTATTAGTTTTATGATAGTGAGAAAATTATTTTTATATTTTCTATGTATTTTGACTTTATTACCCACAAAATAATATTAAAATGACTGTTTAAAACCTTTGTGAAATAGTGTTGACATAGATATATGTGTTGTACAAAACTCAAGTCCAAACAGATTAAAGACCTCAATTTAAATCCGACCACACTGAACCTGATAGAAGAGAAAGTAGGAAGTACACTTTGATGCATGGGCACAGGAGACCACTTCCTAAATATAACACAAGTAGCATAGACACTAAGAAAAACAATAAATAAATGAGACCTCCTGAAACTGTGAATCTTCTGTAAAGCAAAGGACACAGTCAATAAGATACAAAGGCAGCTTACTGAATAGGAAAAGGTCTTCACCAAACCTATATCATACAGAGGACTGATCTCCAAAATATATAAAGAACTCAAGAAATTAAACATCAAAATTCCAAATAATCTCATTAAAAAATGGGGTACAGAACTAAACAGAGAATTCTCAACAGAAGAATCTCTAATGGTCAAAAGACACTTAAGAAAATATTAAACATCCTTAGCCATGAGGGTAAAGCAAATCAAAATGACTCTAAAATACCATCTTACAAAAGTCAGAATGTCTAAGATCAAAGACACCAATGATGGCTTATGTTGGAGAGGATGTGGAGTAAAGGGAACACTTTCCATTGCTGTTGAAAATGCAAACTTGTACAAGCACTCTGGAAATCATTATGGTGGTTTCTCAGAAAATTGTGAATCAACCTACCTCAGGACCCAGCAGTAGCACTCTTGGGCATATACTCAAAGCATGCTCAATCATACTACAAGGACATTTGCTCAACTATGTTCATAGCAGCATTATTTGTAATAGCCAGAATCTGAAAATAATCTTGATGCCCCTCAACCAAAGAATGGATAAAGAAAACGTGGTACATTTATGTGTTTACATTTACATATTTACAGCGGTAAAAAAATGACATCTTGGAATTTGTATGCAAATAAATGGAAATAGAAAAAAAAGCATCCTGAGTGAGGTAACTCAGGCTCCAAAAGATGAGCATGGTATGTATGCACTTACTTATAAGTGGATACTAGCTGTAAAGCAAAGGATAATGAGCCTATTATCCATGACCCTAGAATCAGGCGATGAAAGGAGACAGAGACAGAAACCCACAAGGTCCAAATCAGGAGCAGAAGGAGAGAAAGCACAAGCAAGCAACTCAGGACCGTGAGGGGTGCACCCGTACACTGAGACAAGGGGGATGTTCTATCGGGAACTCACCAAGGCCAGCTGGCCTGGGTCTGAAAAACCCCGGGTTAAAACCAGTCTCGCTGAACATAGTGGACAATGAGGACTACTAAGACCTCAAGAACAATGGCAATGGGTTTTTGATCCTAACTGTACCTATTGGTTTCGTGGGAGCCTAGGCAGTTTCGTGGATGCTCACCTTACTAGACCTGGATGGAGGTGGGTGGTCCTTGGACTTCCCACAAGGCAGGGAACCCTGATTGCTCTTAGGGCTGACGAGGGAGGGGGACTTGATTGGGGAAGGGGGAGGGAAAGGGGAGGCGGTTGTGGGGAAGAGACAGAAATCTTTAATAAATAAATAAATAAATTAAAAAAAATTATTATTATTATCGCAAAAAAACCATATAAAGAGTCACTTGGAAAGGGGAAATAGACAAGATCTCCTGACAAAATTGGGAGCATGGGGATGGGGGGGGAAGGGAGGGCAGATGGAGAAGAAGAAAGGAGAATGGAAAGGGGGAAAGGGGGAGGAGAAGTTGAGGGAACGGAATAGTTGAGATGGAGGAAACACAGAGATGAAAGCAAGAAAAAAGATACTCTGATTAAGGGAACAATTATGGGGCTAGCAAGAAACATGGCACTAGAGAAATTCCCAGTAATTCACAAGGATGACCCCAGATAAGACCCTAAACAATAGAGGTGAGGGTGCCCAAATTGGCCTTGCCCTGCAGTCAGATTGATGACTATCTAAAATGTCACCATAGAACCTTCATCTAACAACTGATGGAAACAGAAAAAGAGTCCCACAGCAGAACAATGAGCTGATCTCCCAAAGTCCAGTTGAAGAGTGGGAGGAGTGAGAATATGAGAAAAGCAGTCAAGACCATGATGGAGACACCCACTGAGACAATTTACCTGAGCAAATGGGAGCTCATCAGCTCTAGCCAGACAGGGAATGAAACAGCATAGGACCAAACTAGATCCTCTGAATGTGGGTGATAGTTGTATGAGATTGGGGCACACTGGGGTCCACTGGCAGTGGCACCAGGATTTATTCCTACTGCTTGTACTGGGATTTTTGGGAATTCATTCTCTTTGGATGGATACCTTGCTCATCCTGGATATAGTAGGAGGGCCTTGGACTTTCCCCCAAATAATTGTGCCTTGCTCTCTCTGAGGAGTGGATGGAGATGTGTTAGGGGAGAAGGTGGAGTGAATGGGAGGAGGAGAGGGAATGGGAACTGGGATTGGTATGTAAAATGAAAAAAGATGGTTTGTTTTCCTTTTAAAAAATAAAAAAAGAAATATATGCTGTATAAACTCAATTGTCACTATCACCACTACTAATTATGATTAATAATCATGTTAAATATCTATTACATTGTAGTAATTGCTCATTGGCTTGCTTGTTTTTCTATGTTTTTCATATACCCAGTTATTAAAAGTGATTGGTGTTAGTAGTTTAACCAAAGTTTGCTAAATGAATTTATAGTATGGTATTAGAGGGTATAGGTCACCTATATAGCATTTATTTTACATGTGCAAGGCACTAGATGTCATGTACAATAACACACAAAACAGGATTCATGCTTTTAAACAGTTGAATGAATTTGAAGATGTACAGTATATAAAATAGACTTTAGCTCAGCCGTAGTTTGTAGGAACTAGACATAAGTAAGTTAATAATAGGCAGATATAAAAATAAATATCCTAGATTTTATGTCATGTGGAGACAAACGAACATACAAAAACCCTAAAAGCATAAAACTGACTACAAAGGAAGTTGAAGGAATATGGAAGGTAGAGAAGAAAGTGAGAAAAGAAGGAAGTGGGGATGAGAGCTCTGATATGCATGAGCATATCAGAATGAAATTCACCAATTTGTACAATTTATATGATTTAATAATGTTAACTGTAGTAATGATAGATAATGTGACTGTGTTAATTAATCACTAATTTTCTTTCTACCTCCTAGGAAAGGGCTGTTGCCTATGATCCTCCTCAGTCTGTGAATGGAAATGTGGGGACAGCAGGTTCCTACTTCTCAAGCTGGTTGAATGTGTAGGAACTTGGAAAGCACTGTCACCCTTCCCAAGTCAGAACTCTCATTATGTTTCTGAAGAATGGTGATAAATATATCTTTCTGGAATGAGTTCTAGGCTTCAAAATTCTAAACATAACCATGAAATCTCAAGAGATGCCACTCATTATAACAACACTGTTATCTTCTGTTTGTAAATTACCTGAAAGAGTAGTCTTTTGCAGAGCTGGGATGGCTGTAAAGTCAGTGCTAGTGGAAACAGGAAAGGGCAGAGATGTAGAAGTTGAAGGAGGTAATTCTTTTACATTGGTGGCCACCAAAATATCACCATGGCTTGACTTTGTTATTGAATGAGGACTGTTAGAAGTCATAAGTGAGCTGCCTTTTGGAATGCTGGTTGTGGCCAATGAAGCCATATCTTCTGCTGCAGAAAGGGTGGTTTCATCTGAAGTCACCTCATCTGCAGGTGGCATATCCGTTCTTGGAACATGAGTACTTTCTGGTGAGGGCACAGTAAAATTGGATTCTGGGAAAGATGTTACCCCTGTAGGCTCAGTAATAGATGAAGAATGTAAGGTGGTGACTGTTTGTACTGGAACTTCAGTAAACCGTGAAGATTGAGTCTGATAAGGAGTCGATATGTTTCTAGCAGAAGCGACAGCAGTCTCAGAATTTGGAAAAATGGGAGTGGACACAGGAGATGAAGGCATGCTTGTTTGTAGAGACATGCTAGTATCCCTCAATCCAGAAGTCAAATGGAAAAATTGGTCAGTATCAGATCTAGTAGTCTCTAAATGGGCAGGCAATGATGTGGACATAGAAGTCACCCATGTGGAGGAAGAGGTACCACCTGTATAGGCATCCCTGAATGATTCAGTGGGTATCAGTACAGAGGAACTTAGCTCATGCCCTTTACTGACGGCCTCCATGTTGGCTACTTTGAATTTTGAGGAAGAATGAAAATTTTCTCTATCAGTAGTAACTTCAGGTAAGCCCAATATTTCAAGTGAGGTGCTGCTCAAATTTGGAGGTGAACCTGGTCCAGTTTTCAAGCTTCTGATCAATGTATCCTTTGTCTTAGAAAACTCAGAGGTGTGGAATGAAGTCTCAGGAAAAGAGGTAGAGCTTGAACTCTCTGGTGGTAGAGAGGAAGCAGAAGAAGGAGGAGTCTTTGTTAGTAATGACAAAAAGGAAGAGGCAGTACCATCTCGGAGAACAGCCTTAGATGACACAGTGTTTTGGAACTGGGGTCCAGGAGTGGTTATGTCCACACTGGTTGCTTCAGTTCTGTTCAAAATGTAAGATGTTTGTGAGGTTCTAGTGTCCTTTGAATTGACTAACTCACTGTTTCTCCAGCTTGGAAATGGTGTTGTAAAAGAATCTAAGTTTGAGTCTATTTCCTTTGGAGTTCTTTCCCCAGAAGAGAATGTGGGGACCCCAGAAGCAGGAGAAGTGAGACTGAGACTTTGTCCTTCTGATGAGGATGTAGCAAGAAAAGATGATGTTGTCAGAGGTATTTCTACAGACTTCACAGAGGGGGTTGCTTCATGGACTGGGGAGTCTGTTTGTGACAGTGGCTCAGAACTGGTGGAATGAGTTATGGAGTCTGGGTGCAGAACTGTCTGAGTTACAGTAGAGAGATCCCCTGTATCATCAGTAGTTACTGAAGTGCTCCAAAGAGTTGTGACCTTGGATGATTCTGCAGCATTAATTACTTGACTGTCGTCAATGTTTGGGAAGGAAACAGTAGAGATATTGGAATTATTTCCCATTAAGATGTCTGCTGTCTTTGTGAAGGATCCAGAGCTTGAAATAGATATTCTATCAGCCGAGTTAACTGCTGTTCTTGAAATCCCAGTGTAAGTCCTAGTGGGCACTGTGAAAAGATCAGAGCTATGTTTTGTCATCAAGTTAGTATCTTCAGGCATGGTGATTTCCTGTTCTACTGAGGTTAGGAGGAAAGTTCTCTGAGTTTCTGTATGTGCAGGTTTAGATATGGGCATTGATGTGGAAAGGGCCGTGTGCCAATTGCTTTGCGGGGTCATCATTACAGTTGTTATTCTTGATGGGACAGAATTAACTAGGACAGTGCCTTGAGAATGGGCTCCAGGACTATTGGTTTCTATTCTGTTTTCTAGGTTTTTTGAGGGAATGTGATCTGCTGTGAGGTTTCTTATGTCAAATGAAGGACCTGGATACCTGGAAGTGGTATCCAGGCCTTGGGTTGAAGTGCTCCCAGAAAGTACATTTTCATCTTTTCCAATTGAGGTTGTTTCTTGAATAGAAGTTACAATTGCAGTCACAAAGTCAAGGGAAGAGTCATTTTGTACTTGTGAAGTAGAAGTAACAGGTGGTGTGGTTTTCTCAGTCACAGTTGATGTTGAATCTGAAGAGATGTGCTTTTCTTTGAGTAAAGACTGTCCCTCAGAACCTCTGGCTTCAGATATCATTGCTAAATATGGAGATGTCTGAGGCTCAGGTGAAGAAAACTCTGCCACAGAAACAGTGGTTGCAGTGTCCCTAGACAGGGCATCATATAATAAAGACCCAGAATTATCTGCCTCCAAGATGGAGGTTAACTCTATGTGTTCTTTTGTACTAGGATAGGTAATGTGGCTGAGAATGCTTCCAGTGGTGATGTCTTCTGATGCTGAGAAAGAAGGGGGGATTCTCATGGAGAGTCTGCCAGCTGTAATGGCCTCTGAAATGGAGATGTCAGTAGACATGCTAGGGGGCAACTGAGAAGAAACAGTATCATGTGTTGTGGCAATTCTGGTCTCTTCAAGAATGGTAGTTTGTGGGAGTGATTGGCTTGGGGAAGAAGTTGTGTGAGCCATAATTCCAGAGGCCTCAGAAAATGCTGCCTCTGAAATAGAAACTGCAGTATCCACCAGAGGGTGCTGGAACATGGTTGAAAATGCAGTTTTAGATGAAACTGATGCAGCGGTAACAGAGGATTTGGATTGGGGTATGGAACAACTGGGTTTTACAGAGGAAGCAGAGCTCGGCTCTGAGAATTTGGTGACCTGTGGAGTCTCTGGGCTTGATTGTGTACTATTGCTCCAATTTATAAATGAGGTAGACAAATCATGTATACCCAATCCAGTTGTGATTGCCTCCCTAGAAGGCGTGAAGTCAGAGATCACAGAACTAGGAGATGGGGTGCTGTGTTCTTCTGTGGAGGTAACAGGAAAAGCTAAGGTTGGCCCATCAAGATATCCTAGAGAATCGGCAGGTTGGCTTCCTTTCAGAGTTGAAAAAGTTGCAATTGGTTGGACTTCATGACTTTGGCTTAGAAATGTGGATGGCTCTGTGACTAGGGGAATTGGAGTGAAACTATTGAAATTATCAGACACTGAAGACATGGGTGATGTTTCCAGGGACGGGCCCGTATTATATGTCACTTGAGAATCCCCAACCTGGCTGGTAGATATTTCTTCTGATTCTGTGATGCTATAGCTAGAAAGTTTGGAGACAATTCTACTGGACAGATCTTCTGATGTAAACTTGGTATCTTCTGATGTAAACTGTTGAAGCATTGGAAGTATCGTGCTATCAGGTGACATGGATACTGTTCTGGATACAGGACGAGAAGAACTGAAAGGCACTTCAGAATGGCTACTAATGAAATCTGTGCTTGACAACACCTTCTCAGGTATATTTGCTGGTGTCAATATAGTCAGGAGGGTAAATGTCTGTGTCCCAATCTTTTCACGTTCAAGTGATATTGACCATGTAGGTGAAAGAGTGGATACTTGAGTGGTGGGAAGGGTAGTGGGAAAAGCTTTATTTTCAGATGACATTGATGTAGGTGTGATAGTGTATTTGAATTGGGGCACAGAACTGCCGGTTTCCACATTGGACCCTGGTGTGATCAAAGAAAATTTATTCATCGGTGAAGTTTGGGAAGCATGTGCAGTGTTAGAGCTTGACTGAGAGATAGTACTCCAGTTTGAAATGTAAGTAGTCACAGGATCTGAACTTGGGTATGAAGCTGTGGGAAACAGATCCTTGGCAACTGTGAAAATAGAGGCAACAGTATCAGGAAACTGATGGTGTCTGTCTGGTAAGGAAGTACCAGGGGCCAGTGAAAGTGATGCTGGTGTTGTGGAATCTGTAGACAAGGATCCTGCCTCAGGAATACCTGTCCATGATGCTGAAGCAGGATTGTTGAAAGGAGCAATGGATTCTGAATGTGGAAGTGTATGCATCCCACTGGACTGGGTGTCCTTGACTGAGGTAGTGCTGGATGTGTTTGGGTAGGTCAAAATGTCTGCCATAACTGGAGAATGTCCCATGGGTCTGCTTGTCATCTCTTTTGATTCTGCATTGCTGGTGGAGGTAGGGAGACTGGTGGAGATTCCAATGGGAGTATCTTCTGAGGTAGACTGATGGGGGGCTGACAGGAACGTGCTGTCAGCAGACAGGGCTCCTGTCCTAGACTCAAAAAGAGAAGGTCTAGTGTGCAATTCGCTATGGTTAGGATTTTGCTCTATGGTTGAATTTCTGTCTTCAGATGTACGGAAGTCTGTCCATGCTGCCTTTGGGGAGGAAGCTGTGCCTGTCTCGATCTCTGTGCTTCCAGATGAGACAGGCTGTGAAGGTGGAAGTCTGGTATGTTCCATGATGGGCATAATGGTTGTGAAAGATTCCTTTTCCCATGGAGCTGATGTAGGTGTGATGGTGTGTTTGGCATGACGTGTGTGTGTCCCATTTTCCATGCTGTTCTCTTGTGTGAGTGAGGAAACAGGGGTTGTTTGTAAGACTTTTGAGAGTTGAGCATGTTTGGAGCTTAGTACTGAAACAGACGTTGGTCCTGAGGTTGTATATAATCTGGTAGGGATTGGGTCCTTAGCAACTGTGAAGATAGAGGTGACAGAAAGAGGGGATCTGGTGCTGTATCTGTCTGCAGTGGCAGGAACTGGAGAACGGGAGGGAGCCTCAGGTGTAGGTCTTGTTGAACTGGCAGGCATGGACCCTTCCCAAGTTGAATGAGTCCATGATGGCGGTGGAGGATTAACAGAATGAAGCCTGGATTCTGAAAGTGGAAATGTCTGTGTCTCACTGTGCTGGGTCTCTGTGTTTGAAGCAGGGGTTGATGTGTCTTGAGAAGTCACCATGTTTGATGTCACTACAGAATGTCCCCTGTGACTGGCTGCTGTCTCTTCTGATTCTGTGGTTGTTATAGATCCCGGGAGCCCAATGGAGATTCCAATGGAGGTATCATTTGATGTTGACTGATGTAGCATTGAGAGGGATGTGTTGGGCTCAAACAAGCCTGCTGTCTGGTACTCAGGAAGAGATGGGATAGTGAGCACATCAGTCTCACTAGTATTGTGTCCTTTGGTTGTATGCATGTCTTCAGACTTACTATCATTTTTCCATGCTAAGATCAAGGTAGAAGCTGTCTGTCTTTTAATCTCTGCAGTTGCAAAGGAAATTAGTTGTGGAGATGGAACTGTGGTGCCTTCTGATTTGGTCATAAATATTGTGAAATATTCATTTCCAGATGAGACTGGTGTAGCTATGGTGTATTTGAGCTGGGATGTTGAACTCCCATCTTTCACGTGGTTTCCTTTTGTGACTGTGGAAACAGTGGTCATCTGTGAGACATTGGATAATTGTGCACTCTTAAAACTTGTCTGAGGACTGCTACTCAAACTCAGAGTTGAAGAAGTCCCAGGTCTTGAGATTCTGGACAAGTCTGTTGGGATTAGATTCTTAGAAATTTTGATGACAGATGTCAGAGAACTAGTAGGTAATATTTTGTGTCTGTCTGCCATGGAAGAAATAGCATGTGAATGTGACTCACGTGGCATTGTTATGGAATCTGTTGATATTGATTCTTCCCAAGGAAATGAAGAAACATTGTTGGAAGGTGCCATGGATTCTGAATGTGGAAGTGCATGTCCTCCACTGGAGTTAGTGTGTTTAAGTGAGGCAGAAATTGATGTGTCTTCAGAAGTCATCATGTTTGATGTCATCACAGAAGGTCCTGTGTGGCTATTTGCCAACATTTGTGACTTTGTAGTGAGGCTGGAACCAGGAGTCCTGATGGTGATTCCAATGGAAGTTTCTTCTGATGTGGACTCTTGTAGCTTTGTAAGGGATGTGTTCACAGTAGACATGTCCCTTGTCCATGAGTCAACATTTGTGGATGCTTCAGTATGGTTAGGATCATATTTTGTGGTTGAATCTGTTTGTTCAAGTGTTCTAGATTGTATCCAAGTGGTATTCCAACCTTGCTTGGGATTATGATGGGTAATAGGCATGGGTGAGTTTATAGGACCTGTAAAAGAGTGACTATGCCTTTGTGATGTGGAATCAACAGGTGATGGAGAGATCATTCTGACCGTAGTTCCCAAGGAATGTTCAGAGCTGATTCCTTCCAGTGGTGAGAATTTTGTCTTGGAAGGGGTATTATAACTTGTGCTGACAAGAGTGGATTTCTCCATCAATGGATAACTCTGAGAGAGAGTAGAGTGCATTCCTGGCACTAAGGAAGTTTCTGGTGTTCCTTGGGAGGAAACCAAGTTTGGGGTCCCCACAAAACCTGTCTGACTAGTGCCAATGACAGAGTTTGGGGGTCCAGTGGACACTTTACTGGAGGTTTCTTCTGGCGTGGTTGACTGATGAGGGCTTGGATAGGAAATGCTGTTCACAGGTTCTGTTCTGGATACAAGAACAGAATTAGTAAAGGATGCTTCAGGAAGATGAGGAGTATGATCTGTGGTCGAAATCATCTCAGGTATGTTAGTCTCCATAGTAACAGTCATGGATGTGTCTTGCAGAAGGGTACTATCTAATTCAGTCCCATTTTGTGTGCCAGTCCTTGTAGAATTAGACGTATTCATTGAAGCAGAAACAGTGCTCTTCCCTGTGGTTTTGGGTATCAACGTGAACAGTGTGGATTTGGGTACAACTGATTCAAATGATATGCGGGGAGCAGAGTTGGTGGCTTCCATGCTGCTCACTGTTTTCTGTGAGTTTCTTGTGCCTTCTGGTGTAGCCAAGTTTGAAGGAATGCTGCTTCTCCAATGTAAAGTTGAAGTGGTCACTGTTGTGCTTGTTTCCAACATTCTTCTGCTTGTCTTGGGTGTTGTCCTGAGCCTTGTAGTCATAAATCCAGAAGAACTATGTGGTTCTTGTAATGAGGATGCTACATAAGAAGGCAAGATTGGTTTGGGTTTATTTGACACAGTAAGCTCTTGACAAATAATAGATAATTATAAATTTGTAATCTAATAATACTCTCAGGAATAGTCTTATATATGTTTTTACATATTTATAAGGTGACTAGAACAACCTTATGGTTGATATCTGTATTAATCATATCTACATTCATCTAGTGGAAGAAATTTTATTCTGGACTTTATGTTGTTCTTGGATAAAACATTTCTCACTTATTCATATGCTAACATAAATGTATTAAAATAATCATCATATAAATTGTGTATAAATTCTCAGGTGAAGTTGGATAAAAATATAGCCTCTAAATAAAATCTATAGTCTTACAACTATAAAAATAAGTCAGGTAGGTAAAAATGCAGAGGATAAATGACTATGAAGTGTTAGCCTCCCTTTCTATAATGCTCAGGGTGCCTCCTAGAAAAGTAAATAGAAGACTATAAGAACCAGATCTACAAAGCAATGTCTTTTGAATATATGGAAACATTTCTCTCATGAACTCGTGACTGTTCTAATGGTTGGTACAAGACCTGTACAATATTAACATTCCAGCATGGGTAGAGCAGCTAAATGCTATTGACGATTGTGAATGGATAAGAGATTGCCAGTTCTCTTCAGAGATATGATCCCCGATAAACTGTCCACATCCCAATGGATGGTTGGCCGTGTAGCCTTACAGCTATAGCCATTATTGATTAGACTCAATATGTTATTAGAAACAATGAAGAAGCACAGGAAAGAGCAGGAGGAGTAGAGGGGTTGTAGAGATACTGGCTCCCATGTTTGGCAACCTGAGTTTGATTCCCAGAATGCACATGGTGGAAGGAAGAAACTGACTCCTGAAAATTATCCACTGATGGCCACATGGACATTGGGACTCACACACACACACACACACACACACACACACACACACATTCAAATAAATAAATAAATGCAAATGTAAAACAAAATTATTATTTTCTGAAGGAAAGGTCATAAAGTTGGGAGGGGAACACGATGGAAAAGTCTGGGAAGAGTTGGAGGCAGAAGTGAAGGATGAATATGATAAAAATATGTTGCATACATGTATGAAATTCTCAAATAGTAAATACATTTTTTTAAAAAATGAGCCAGTTTGAAGAAGTTATCCATTTGTAACAGGTTAAATCTACAATCAAAGAAATCCACAGCATGGTACATGAATGCCTGAAATTTCTATTATACTTTGTTAGGATGTATATTTGTGTGGTTAATTCTCCCACCAAAGAAAGAAGGAAGAAAGGAAGAAGAAAGAAAGAGAGGAGAAAAGGGAAAAGAAGAGAAAAAAGAAAGAAAAATTGAAACATCTATGGCTGGGAGGTGCTTATAATCCCATCCCCAGAAGGTAGAGGCAGAGCTCCTCAGAGAAAGCTCATGAGGAAGACTAGCCATACTGAAGACCTCTGGGTATGTTGGCGAGAGTTTCTCAGTGAAGAAGGAGGTAAGGGGATTGAAGACATCAACTTCAGGCATATACGCACACGCACACACACAATGCCCCAAACAAGCATATACATTCCTGAACACACCATGTACACATGCATACAGTTATACATGAAAAGTAGAAAAGAGGGGAAAGATGACACACATGGAGTTGAAACAATAGCTCAGTGGGTAAAAGCAGTCGTTACAAAAGGATGAGGACCTATTTGGATTCCAGTGACCATATCAAGAGCAGGCAAGGTCATGCATACATCTGTAATCCTAGCTATCACTACACAGACTGGGGAGACAAGCAAGTTCACTGGGTGACCGGCCGAGCACAGGTTTCAGTAACAGACTCCATCTCATGGGAATAAGATGGGAAGTAAGGAAGCATCTTCCCCTGGTCAGTTTGTGAGCTTGCATGGGAGTGTGCATTTGTAACACACATTATGTGCACCACACGCACACACATAATATATGACTAGATTCCCCACATATTCCTAAGGTACTATTTCCTGTACTGCAAGCTAGTATTTCTTTTGGAAGATGTATCTGTGAAAATTTTGAGGTATTCTAGTTTGCCATACTAACAAGTCAAACCCTCTTTGTAAAAACACACACACTTTGGTCACAGGACATGAAGAAAACATAACAGAACTGAAAAGAGCTTTCTCCCTGTTAGCTCTTTAGGCTTATGGGAGAGAAGAGCCATTAACAATAGTATCCAGATGTGAACCATGTAGGCTGAAATAATAATTGGTCTGGCAAGATATGTTAATGTATGCCATAGTAGCATAAATATTTAGGATAACCAACCTTTTAAAATTGGATTTAAGGCCCACTCCACAGAAGGAAACTCATGCTTAGTCTTTTAAATTTAGTTAAGAAACCATAGCCAGGAAACTTATACTTCTTAGGGCAGAACCTATTGCTATTTAGTTATTGCTAAATAACTATAGCATCAATCTTCTTTCTAAATATGTATGCAGTACAGCTCTCATTCATCACCTGGGAAACTTCTTTGTGCTGATAACTTCTTTGTGATGATAGTTAATATAGAGACTCACAACTGGCAAAATTGTAATGTAAGATTTTGTAGAGTTCTAAGTCATAAAAAGAATGCCTACGTGAAACACACCATCACTTGAGAGCTCAGGAAATGTTGCAAAAGAAGAGAAAGAAAGAATGTAAGAAGTGAAGGTTGGAAAGGATCAAGGTGAAACAGTGCCTTCCGGACAAGACAAAACTGTGGCACAAATAAACTCCCAGCCTCTGTGGTTGCCTGCATGAAACAGAGATAGATAGAGCCTCTCAATAGTCCTTTGTGAACCTATGAGAGGCCCAAAGGCCCCACTATCCTTCAGTCTCTATAGGCAGTTCATGGTTACAGAGAAAGGTGCAAAGGGAGAGGCGAGAAATGTGGACATTTCTTTAAAAATCTCAGGGAAGCTAAGGACTAGATTAGTTTTAAGATACTCTGGATGTTATAAAAAGATTTTTTGTGCTTGTCTTCATAGATAGTCCTGCAGTTGAAGGAGCTGTAGCTTGCTTTGATAGCTAAGATAAAGAAACAACACTGTTTTAATGTGATTGAGGTATTTATGAATTTTTGGAGAATAAATTAGTTGGTGATTGGTCCTCACTGAGGCTAAAAAAAAAAAGGACAGGCATAATTATAGTGACAAGAAAAGGGGGAAATCTTTTACTCTGGAGTATGGTTGAATCCTTTAACCAGCTATGAAGAAAATCCCAGCAGAACTATCAACTGCTTGAGACTTTTCTAGCATTCTCATCAGAAACTCCCTTTATGATAAAATATATCCTAAGCTTTTGTGCAGCCCCGATGACTCCTGGTTTTACTTTTATCAGAGTATAATCACATCCAAGGCACCATGTGAGACACTTCATAACCCATGTATCAAAGGACAGAGATGGGCAAGAGAAAAACACTTCCTAATAACCTTTCCAGACATAACATGAGGACCACTAAAACATCAACAATCATAAGACACTTCATTTTCACTATCTTATAAGGAGCCTATATTCGTAAGTGGATAGGTCATACTTTTTTCACTAGGTAACTGTCTTTTTCTTGATTCTTATGTTTAAAATCTTTATTGAAATATCTTTAATAAATTTCCAGTTGTGATTCATGATAGCTCATCCTGAAACTCTTTTCTCTATTAAAGTCTGGAATCCCAGTGTTGCTTATGTTGAGGTTCCTAAAATGGTAAGGGAATGCCTCAGGCTGCAGAGCATGAGAGTGTGGGAAGTATGTCTCTGTGCCCTTAGTCATTGGCACCTAGTGACAGTTGCCCTCACTCATTTCTGAGACAGATATTTTCTTCCTGTTGTGCCAGATAGAGACATGTGGGATCAAAATGTGTGGAAACACTGCTGGTTGTTGTAGCTAGGACTTTGGATGCTGCTACTTTCTAGTGACTAGAGATCCTATGATGAAGTCCAACATCTACCAACACAAGGAGGATCTCCCTGATCTGCAGCCCTTAAAATGATTATCCAGATCCATTTACATGACTGGTAGTACTGTGACTGGTAAACTCTAGCCTAAAACACTTGAGCTCTCCCAGTGAAAATAAGCAAATAAACAACTCAGTAGGTTACAAGCAGTATCAATAAAAATAAAGACAGGGTCACAAAAGAGATTGTTAAATGTTTAAGAGTATTTTTTGCTCTTGCTGTGGATCTGGGTTTGGTTTCTAGAACCTGCATGATAGGTCACAGCCATCTTTTCTCCAGTTACAGGGGATATAATACTTTCTTCTGACCTCTGAATGCACCAGGTATGCCCATAAGGCACATAAATGTAAACACACTTGCAAACAAACACTCATAATAAAACAAAATAAATATAACCCCAAGGGGATATAATGGAATAAAATATAGCAGTATGTTAAATGAAGCAAAAATAAATTATCTTTGAAAGCTTTCTTATAGGGCACAACATTTCACTTAGCTGAGGAGAATAAATTTGGAAGACTCTAGTGCACAAAACCGAACATGCTGGACACATGGTTTTGAAAGAGAATGACTCCATATACGTTTGCCTACTTGGTCCCTATTCATGGAACTGTTTGAGAATAGTTAGGAGGTATGACTTTGTTGGAAGAGGTTTATCACTAGTGGCTGGATTTGAGGTTTCAAAGGACTTGCTTAATTCCCAGTGTACCTCTTTTTTTTCCTTCTATTTGTTGACCAAAATATAAGCTTTCAACTGTTTCTGCCACCATGCCCTTGCTCCACCATCATGGACTCTAATCTCTGAAACTGTCAGCCCAAATTAAGCACATTCTGTTAAAAGCTTCTTTGCTATACTATCAGAGGAATAATATAATAAAGCAGTGAAGACAAAAGCTGGCCCAAGGGAGTGAGTGGGCTATTGCCGTTAACAGGACTGCCCATGCTGTTTCTGAGAGGAATCAAGACTTTGGATGAGGAAAGCAGTTGAATGATATAAACAGTACGTAATGGGGCATCCTAGTAGGAGCCTGGAAGACAGCACTG